TTCATCTCTGAGAGTTGATCATTGAAAGTTATTGTATCTCTTGAGAAAGAGCAGCTTAGAGGAAGGAAGTGAATAAAAGAATTGTGAGTAATATGGCTGTGATTAGTTGGCAAGGTGTCTGGTAAAAGAATGTGTTTTTTCAGTTTGAAAAGTAATCCTTGCCACTTGCAAGTACTTAGTAACTTTAGTTGTATCTTTCTTGATCAGATAACAGGAAAGTTTTTGAACAGAGGTTCTATCCATCAGTGAAACCCACCCAAATTGCTGGTTGTTCAATTTCAATGCTGAATAGACCTGAATGGAATCAATATCATTTCAAGTAAAGGAAGTCAGTAAACCTCTCAAAAGTTTATCTTTTAACTGGTTATTTCTTGCAATATTTGATATGGTCTGGCTCGACTTGCCATTGACTACTGTGTTCTTTATGCATCCAAAACCAAAATTGGTGCTTCTTTCATTTTATTGATGTATAGTCTTACTTTTACTCTTGATTATTGGATAGGAAATACAACTAATATAGTTCTTATGAGGATTATAAATTTGAATCTTTTATTTAAAGGCACAGAAAAAATATGGCTGGCCACTCATATCTGAGGATGCCCATCTACTAGAGCTGCTAGTTAATCCCTGTTGCAGACACCTGCTCAGGTACATTTGTATTTGTTCAACCCTCACAGAGCCCACCTGTAGTTTATACTGCAACTATGCTGAGCAAAAATGAAAAGAATTCTATTTTGAACTAAAATTTATATGTACGCTTGTCGAGCATTAATAGAATTCTTTTCATTTTTCATTCAAAATACTCAAATTTTAGGAATACGTTTTCAGTGTCACCCACGTGACGACAACGTGACCATGTTTTAAACGGAGCGCTGATCTTATAAAACTTTCAGTTTTGTTTGGATAAGTCTTGTTCTTATGTACATCGTCTTTGTCATGTTGTATTGATAATGTTATAATTTATGAATATGTCCTGAAGATGGTTTATTAGACCGAAACATCCGACGTTGACATATTAACATTAAAACAGTATAAATTGTATATAAGGATTTTTGTTTGTTTTTTCCGTATATATTTTTCTTCATACTGTCGGATCTATATCCATATATTTATATATATATATATATATATATATATATATATATATATATATATATATATATATATAATATATGGAAAAAAAAAAATTAATAATAAAAGATAAAAGGCTAACATTCAGTAATATCAATTATGAACATGGACACAACTTGTTGGTCCTATTTGGAAAATAAAAGTATTTCCATCACTATAAATACACATATATAAAAATCTACATCATCAGTTAAAAAAAGTCCTTGATATTGATTAATAGCCAAAAGTACTCAGTTTGAACAGTTTTTACTCACTTTATGTCCAGAAAAGAAAAACTTGTACAAATGCAAGAAAAATTGATTAAATAGCTTAAACACAGTACCTTGGCAGTTGTTAATTACATTTTTTATAAACAAGGAATTGCTACCCATGTACACAATTATTTATAAGTACTTCCAAAGATTCATCTTTGTTATTATTAAGAGAATAGACGAAAGGATTTTTTGATTATTAAATTATATTTTTAAGTCTTTGTAAAATTTTGGTTAAAAAGTTGTTTTTTTTTTTTTTTTTTTGTTTGTTTTTTCTTTCATCAGCACGTGACTAGTATTGGAAATTTCAGCATCTCTTTGCAGAGAAAAACATATTGTTTTGAAAATTCTTGTAAAAAGTGGGATAATTGTCAGATTTTAATGTAATTCTCTGGGCTTATTAACAAATGAATGAAATTATTTTTAAATGTTTCTTTTTTGCAAAATTTTTGTTCATATATATATATACATATATATATATATATATATATATATATATATATATATATATATAACACATCTGTTAGCCCCCCCACACACACACACTTGAATTTTTATAGGGCTTCATGTTATAAGCAAAAGTCTTTCCCCCACTTCTTCTTTAGTAAAACAGGACTCCCAATTCCTAAAACTCTGCTCACAATTGTAAAATAAAAAAATGCAAAAAGAAAAAACAAAAAAATACGACTTTATTTAATTAGAAAAGCTTTTAATTGCTTTTATGAATAATATATATTATGAGTAACATTGCCATCTTTTTTTCTGAAGACAATCTCTTCACAGATGAAGATTAAAGCAACAAAAATATAGGTCTAGAGAAGGATGCTGAGAATACCATGGCCAAAACATGTGAGCATTGACAAAATTCTAGAGAAAATGGAAACAAAAATGATACTTATTCTTAGCATCAGAAAGAGATAATTGAAATTTTAGGGCACATAATGAGGAAAGAGGGCTTGGAAAATTTGATACTCACAGGATATAATGAAGTCAAGAGAGATGGTGGAAAACAATGATCTACCTGATTATCTTAAATGACTGGATGGTGGAGCAGGCTTTGTGAGAGATAGCAAAAAACAAAATTTATTAAGAGCTACAAAGAATGTTGTGGAGAGCCATGATCACCAATACTACGAAGAAGAATAATGGAAGTTGCAATTTGAAACACACCATTCTTCAGAATGCTAATATAGGAAAATTGATTTCCCTTCTAGGAAAAAAGTGCATAATAAGTGCTTTGCCAGGGTTAAATGCAGTTTTATATTAAGTATTTTCCTTCTCTTAGACTGGTTGCCAGTGGTGGCTAGAGGGCTGAGTTTGCCCTGCTATTTAATCTATAGTTTGGTTGAGAAAAAATGGATTCATGCCTTTCCCAAGGGTCTTTGGACCAAATATATAACAAACTTATCCGGAAGTCAACCTTGGTTTGTCAATTTCTTGTTCTGTGCTGTTAATCATTGCACCACCTACATATCCATTGTTAAAATATATATGAACACCACACACTTTCTGTTACTAATTATTCTATAGTTACCAATAAACCCCATGGATGGAAATGAAGAAAAATAAAAAAAGAACTGAAATAAAGAATAGAAATACTACTTTAAAAATACAAGTTTACAATGCTTCATCTATTAATAATGAAATTCTAGATATTTCTACTAATGGTACTAATGGATATTTTTTCTGTGTGCTCATGGTGCTACCAAATGTGACACAAGGTCAGTTTAAAGTGGGTTTAATAGCAATACCATAGGAAAATTCTTTAGGCCCTTGGCATTTCTTCATTTTGGCACCGGGCAATAAATCCAGCCCCTTCCTAAAGGAGAGGTACTGCCTGTTGGGAAGGCCCCCTGGGTCTTGGGCTTACTGCTTTTTGAAACTTCCTTACCCACATAAACTTTTGCCTAAGAAATAAAAATTTATCACAAATGACAGCAGCAAGTATTTGGAGAAAATCAGCAATAAATCTTATATTGTTAGATTTAGATTTCTGCAACCATTTGGATTCTGTCGCTGCTCAAGTGGAACAATTGTCATACTGAGAGAAGATTACCAAGGAAAAATAAACAAGTTTCTGCCTAGCCAAAATCTTATTTCCAATTTATACTCTTCACTAATGATTGTGTGCTGATGGTCATGAGTAGTTGTAATAGAAAACAACTGAAATTAAGATAGATAATAAAAAAAAAACCTCTTCAATAATTTTAATGCCTTTTGTTTTAACATTTTTGCTGAAATTAATCCATTCAAAAATAAAATCTTAGAATATCTTATTGCTATAAAGCAAATATTAATTATTCTCAATGTAAATACTCTTATAAAATATTTAACTAATTAACATTTCCTTAAGTCATTTTAACTGGCATTAAATAGGTTATATGTCAATGATTAAATCTCTTTCATAGCCTTATGAAGCAAATCGGCTGAACATGACTGTCTTTTTATTGTCCATGGGACTTATACACAAGTCTTCCTAATGAGAATTTTATTTTCTTAATAATATTCCTCTATAGATATTTTTCATATTTTCTGACCATTGAAGACTTTGCCATAAATCTTTCCAAATAATTATCTTCCTATCAGTTTAAACTGATACCGTTTTTTTTTTTTCGTTGTGTTCCAATGAAAACTTGGGCATTCTTGAACATATATTTTTTGAAATTTTCATTTTTCAAAGTTTATAACTTGTCAGTTTAATGTGACACTAGGAGATCAAAGGTTAAAGAACAATTCTAATCAACACGGACTTTTCTGGTAGATATTTTAAAGAATAGTTTTTCTAGTTATCTAAAATAATTTATCTGCTTCTATTTTTTTTTTTTTTAATTAGAACTTTTTTTCTTTTTTTTAAATCAAATTTACTGAAAATATGCTTCCTTTTGGTCATCTAGAAAGGTTACTTTATTTGTGAATTAAAAGTATTTGCATGAATGAATTTGTGTACCTAGTCATCACTATTTTTAGAAATGTTGCTAGAAATCTCCCAGAATTTGTGGGATTTGTGTTGTTTACCTTATCAGATTTAGAACTTCAAAAAAAAAAATGAGTAATGACAAGATTTTATCGGGCTTGCAAAAATTTAAGCAATGCTTAGGTAAGCTTATTCAGGGTGAACGCAAATTCCTACTTTACTTTCTCTTCAGTGATTTGTATTTGTGGAAATTTTGTTTCTCCTAGTTGTATTCTAGGATTAAGAAAAATATTCAAGATTTATTTTTATTTTTATCTGAAGTGAATCTAGTTTTTCTGTTGTTTTCCATTATAGCTGGATTATTGCTGATCATAGAACAATTTAAGCCTTGTACTTTCTGAATGCCATTATAAATTTCCTCAAAGATAATAAAGTACTTCTTGAATCTTAAGTTCTTCAAGTTGACACTCTCACTCTGCACTGTTTGAAAATCTGACACAAGTTAAGCAGCTTTTATTAAGGATTTTTTTTTTAAATTTTATTTTTAATTCACTAAAATTATCTTACATCAGTGATATTCTTAATACATATTTGTATTCTGAAAGTAGACATAATGGTATCGTTAATGTTTGAATTTCTTTCAGCGGATCCGAATGAGTCAGTTTTTGAGTGTTCACTAAAGCTCCTTCTAAACACTAACTCTAATGTTTCATTTTGCGGCAACGCGGTTCCCCCTGTCTCATTTTGCGGCAACGCGGTTCCCCCTGTCTCATTTTGCGGCAACGCGGTTCCCCCTGTCTCATTTTGCGGCAGCACGGTTCATTGTTGCATTTCCAAGTGGCTCAGGCATCTTTGCAGATTTGTATTTCATCAAATACTTTGTATTGTTTTAAAAAAAATGCAAAGATATTGTTACTTGAAATTGGATTGTCCACTTTAACATATCTATAACAGTTTTTGAAAGGAAGATGATAATTGCTATTGTTTTTCTTGATTTGCTGCAACAATTAGCTTTGTTGAGAAGTAACCAACTTGTTTATTTCTCACTGTTTTCCTTTTTTTTTTTTTTTTTTTTTTTTAAATAATGGTTTTCATTCTGTTATATTAAGGCAATGTGGCTTTGTTGGGTTAAGGGCAATTTCAGAAATCGTATAGAATTGATTTTATTAAACTCACTGTTAATTATACATATCTATTTTATCATATCGGCCACAATTGAGATAGAGAGCCATTGTAAACTTCAGAATCCTTTTGCTGGCCACATTGTGTATGTGTTTTGCCAAAAGTCTACATACAGTTTTCAATTCAGAGTTCTCCTCCTCCTCCTCCTCCTCCTCAAACTGGTTGCATTAGAGGATGGCCTCCAGGATATAGAAAGAAAAAGAAGAGAAGTGATAGTCGTAGCTCAATTTCACATTGGTTGTACTCCTCTAATACATTCTTCTCTCCTTAGAAGCGAGGGACCTCCAATATGTACATTATACCAAGAACCATATACCATCAAGCATATACTTATAGACTGTGCTGACTTTAATCATATCCAGGGAAAAAATTTACAAAAAAGTAAGACATCAATGAGATTTGCAGGCAAACCAAACCGGAATAACTTTAACTTTATAAAACAGGTGAGGCTTCACAATAAAAAAAAAAAAAAAAAAAAATTTTTTTTTTTTAAGAACTACTTTAACCAAAAACTGAACTTTCTTACAAATACTAAATAAAGGATTTGACACTAAAATGACCTACAGAGGTTAGTGTGCCATTAAGAAAAACCAAGTCTAAGCTAACCTGGTTGCCAACCACAGCTCCAGAGCTCAATCTGCACTGCTATTTAACCAACAGCTGGGATAGGGAGATTTATACCTTTCCAAAGAGTATTTGTTCAAAAGTGAATGTAACAAACTCAACTGGAATTTGAACTCTGCTTGCCAATTTCTTTTTCCAAGCCACTAACCATTATGCCTTTTGCATATGCTTTATACATGTAGTGGAGAAAAACAATAGTTTTCTTTCATATTAACTAACTCTGTTTCAAGGTTACATGTATAAGGCACTTGGTAAAGATAAAACTCCTTACAGTAGTAAAAAATCTGTGAAACTAGTTTGCTAACCATCGCTTTTATTCCTTGAAAATTATTTGTTCCCTTTCTATGTCGAAAAATTTTCAGTCCAACTTAGAAGCCCTTCAAAAAAAAAAAAAAAAAATAATGTTTGGTTAAATTTCAGCCAGTGAGTTAGTCTAATAATTTTTCAGCTCTTCCTTGTAATATCAATGCGTTCTTTTGACTTCAAAATTACCAATCCTTATTTCAAAATCTTAAACTATTTTTTTTTTTTTTTTTTTTTTAAACTAATGAATAGCTATTGCAAATAGTTATTAGATTTAATGAATTGTTTCTGTTAACTTTGAAACTGCCAGTTGGAGGAAATTAGAACTGACTGTAATTTAATTCAAGGTAAACGTGGTACTTTTTTTTACCACTTTATCATAAAGAAAGTCAAATGTTTTAATGCATATTTATTTGCCTTTATTTGAATACGAAGCAAAATCCTCAAATCTTCAGCCTTTTGAAGTTTCATAATATATAAAAATAGATACGTTAAATGTATTGCTTAATTTTCAATAAATTAAGTGTTTCTCTATATTTCTGAGATGAAGAATATAATTATTTACAGTATTTACATTGCTCAGACTATTTTTCTCATCTTTGTTGTCATATTCACAATGTTTCAGCCATTGTATGCTCCGGCCTTCTTCAGATGATTGGAATTTCAAACCAAACCCTTTATTTCATCCAGCTAGGCTGATTGTTCTAGTTCCATGTGCCATGCCTCTTCCAGATGTTTCAGTTTCATTTATTTCCCTTTAACTCAACTGTCCAAGTTATTTGTTCACCTCTGCTGTGTTCAGGTATTGAACTCATCTCTTTGGATCAAGTCACTGGATTACCAATGCTTTTATTCACTGGGCCATTTGTCATTGTGGAACTAGAACAATCTACCTGAAGAAAGCCAGAGTGTACAATGGCCGAAACGTGAATATGACAACAAAGATGAAGACAATAGTCTGTACAATATAAATACTGTAAATAAAACTAAGTGTTATTGCTGTAAACAGATCCTTATAAAACAAGACATTGTCAACATGACTCACTACAACAACAACAGAAATGTTATTAAGGTGATGTCTAATTATGCAAGCGGCTTTGAGAGATTAACTTTGTCAAGAGTCATTGATAAACTGTCTAGGACTAGAAGTACTTTCAATCACTACACAATAAAACTTGTCTGAGTCTATTGACTTAAGTGTTCACTATCTAATTTGTGTCTGATATAAGACCATTAAAAGAGGAAGGTTACTTGCCCATCGTTTTTGACTTTTTGTTTCTTTTAGCTGATCTTAAAATGATCCGTAAATAATCTTAAAAGACAATCCAAAGGGAAAAATTGAAGCCTGAGTCTTCTGCATAAGAATGAATTTATCTTTGGAGAGAATGGTAATTAGGGAGGAATAATCCTTCTTTGTAACTCTTGGATTATATATATATATATATATATATATATATATATATATATATATATATATATATATATATATACACACACGTGCTGTATATTTCCACGTATAAGATGACCTTTAAATCCCCAAAATCACCCTTAAAAATTGGGTGTAATCTTATTCTACAATTCTAAAAAAGAAATCTTATATTCTTAGTGATGTTTGTCAGTAGGCTAACTTTTGCCTTGGTGCGATAACCAATAATATACATGAAAAAATTAACATTATCAAATAAACTGATAATAAAAATAATAAAACCATTTCTACCTTATATATTACTGATAGAACTTCATAATAAATTGACTATTCAAAGAATAATTCCATAGCAATAAAATCAACTTGTATCCATGCAAACTCAACTGAGAAAATGTAAACACAGACTTATGATTGTATTCACAGCAATGGAATATACTATTATCATACTGTTATTAGAACAATTTTATTATTGTTGAAGTATAAGTAAATGGCCATTAGTACACCAGGCTGTTTGTAACTGTTTAGATATAGGGAAAAAAGAACAATCATCAGTATTCACAAGAAATCACATGATGAAATGTAAACAAAACAATAGTTTCCATTTTAGGGGACATGTGTAGGAAAAACATATCAGTTTTGTTATTTTGTTTATTTTGAATTTCTAAGGATATAGTAATATTCTTTTAAAGGGGTATAAGACGATAGTATGTCATATCTCCAGACTTATTCAACCTTTACATTGTGGTGATTCTGAGAGAATTAGAAGTCCAGCCAGGATTCATTATTGGCAGCCACAATCTTAATATCAGATATGTAACTATTTACACTATTTACATCGTTTGGACTGTTGCCCTCATCTTTATTGTCATATTCACGATGTTTCGGCTGTTGTACGCTCTGGTCTTCTTCAGGTAATATATGTCAGGATTTTGAACTGAACTTTTTATTTATTCCACAGGAGTAGATTGTTCTATTCATTTACATACAAATACCTTTTGTAGAAGGTATGAATCCACTACTACTCCCCCCCTGCCATTATAACATCTGAAAGGAAAGGTACAGCTGAACAGTATTGGTAATGATAAATTGACTAAAAGAGCAACGTACTAACAAAGTAACTTTGTGGATGCAAATATACAAAGCTCAATATACCAATTTTGACGTCCAGTCTGATAATAGTCTACCCTCACGGCCAAATGTATGTGATATGGTGACAGGTTTTGATAAAAGTAGTGCATAATCTTGCAGGTGTAGCCCAGTAAGAAATATCTTCATGTTGGGTAGCCTAATCTACTCAGATGGTCTCCAAATGTGGGGTGTTCCCATGTCTCTTGGTGTGATTTCCAAGTCACCTTCATCCTTTAAGCTTAAAACAAAAAAAAATTCAACCCTCTTGACACCCAACCATGATGCTCCCTACCATCAGCAGCTAGGTAACATGCCCAACTCATTATGGTAGGCAACTGACAAGCATTTCTGTGGTATTGAATGAGATATTTACTGTAGCTCATCTTAATTCACCAATACAAGACTTTGTACACGTTAACATTTCCAATCCATTAAGATGAGAAACCAGATGTGCAGATGAAATAAGCATTGCAGTAAAAGTCTGTAAAAAATGAAGATACTTTTTTTATTTCTTCCTAACTAGTTTTTGCAAGCTGTTGATGCTGACTGATTTGACTGTGAATAAATAAATCTGATCCTAAACCAACTGAATTTCTAGAGCAGCAGTGAGAAAGTGTTTTTCTAGTCTTTTTAGCAAAAGTACAGCTGAGATTTTTTTTTTTTTACATTACTGCTATAATTACTGCTTAAGTTATGATCAATATTTTTTTTTTCCCATCAGTTATCAATCTATATTGAAACTGCCTGCATACCATCATGCTATACGTCTTTGGTAGAACGTACTGTGAATTAATAATGAAGATTGATATTGAAATTTAGGACAAGTAAATGTCTAAGATATAAAATCCAAGTGGCAAGAAGTTGAATTCATGCATGGCTGATTATTTCCTTTACCAGTTGCATGACTGTCTCCAAAATGTTAATCTTTTAATGCTGTATTTTTTTAAATCATTTCCCCCCTAGCAATGTGATAATGTCACTCTGATGCAAGGACTTACTGGGAATGGAAGAGAATCAGAAGACTTTAGGTGCCAGAGAGATGAGAATTCTGAAGAGAGTTCGATAGGCCTGACTGCCTCACATGAAAGGCTTGAGCAAATAAGACTGTAATCTAAGAAACATTGGAGTAAAGGAACTGATTAATTAAATTATTC